GAGACATTCACAGAATGGTCCTGATTACATAAGATAGCCAATCCAATGAGGCGCTTTCAGAATCACACTTTTCTGCGACAAACTGACTATTCATAATAGAGATTTGTATCTACGTAAACGGCGCAAAACCTGTCGCGCAATTCCGCAGGGCGTGGAAGCGGCCTCGACGAGTGGTGGCATAAGAAACGATACCAACACGATTGAAACCAGGGGTTTCCTCTTAAATCTCGAGTAAATGGGGTATCCTTTTGTAAAAAGCAACCAACTCAGCGCTTTTCACAGCCTGCCCTGAAAGACTGTTGCAGATAATAATGAAGATGTAAATGAGGATGAAATTCTCTATATTGTTTTAGCAAGATTATTTTCCCTTCTACTTTTTTAAACTCTTTCTTGATGTCTGATGAAGGTTATATTCAACGAACCACTACGCACGTTATTCATCGGAATCTCTGGCTCAGTGCTGTCGTCAGCAACTTTCCCAACCCCTATTTTCAGACCATTCGAATAAATAACCAGCGCAATATGACCTTAGGAATTTCACCTTCGAGCCATAAAATAACTTAAGACAACAATAGTGAGCAAAACAACTACGACTATTTGAACAGGTGATATTTAATCGAACAAACCCTTGGAAGTATGTCCCTGTAAAACTACAAGGATGATGCTTGCTCATGTCTAAATGTGTAAAAGTAGTGGCGCTTGACAACTGTCCACTGGGTGTTTCTTCCGCACGAACATGTGGTCCAGTGTGATGTGATAAGCAGCGGAATCTAAGTATGCCCCGAAAGACGATGCTTAGATGGGCTCCATATGGGTTAGAAAGGTGAACCAAAGCCAAACATTATCCAGTAAGATTCTGTCGGGAACAGTATCTCATTCTGCACAATATCACTGGTGTGACAAAAAGTGCCCGTTTCGTGATGGATTGCCTCTTGAACTCATTGAAGAAATCATTGGCACCTAGTTCAAGGTTATCTGTCCGCTTTCGGATACCAAAACGTATGGAGTAATGAAAACGCCCCAGTGGAAATTCCTGAAGAAGATGGAGTTAGATATCTGGTGTTCATAGTATTTTACCTAGATGGACAAAATGGAGTGAACTTATTTGTTATATTTCGGGTGAGCTCAACCAGTGCTTTTTTGGACACTTGAATACATTTGTTTATCGCCGGAGGAAATCAGTGTCTGCAGATGGAAACGGAAACCATTTCATGTGCTCCGAGCAGTGAGGGCAGCTAGACAATGGACGGCGAGGGAACCGGGGTAAATATGTTTGTATTATCCAAGTATAATAAAAAAGCTTTGATCTATGCATTAACATGGTCTTACCGTTTGACCTTCGAAGACAGTATGTGCGCCAGTGTGATGAATACTAATTGCTTGGAAAATTAGTTGATTTGGACTTGCAAGACTTCTGTTGTATGTTAAAGGGAATAAATGCGCTCAGTAGAATTCGGAACAGATTAGATATCTATAACCATGTCTACTTGCAAGACTTCTGTTGTATGTTAAAGGGAATAAATGCGCTCAGTAGAATTCGGAACAGATTAGATATCTATTGTTAAACCATGTCTGGATGAAGTGCATACAGCCAAAACAACTCCCCTTTAGTTGGGATGCATTACATGCTGACTCATTCCTGAACACCATTGGTATTTTTAGGAAATCTTTGGACTTAGTAACAATAATTACGTGCCTGCTTTCTTTTATGTCAGAGTTCGTGGCGTGAGTTCCCGTAGAAAAATCAAGATAACTGAATGAAACCGGGCCGACATTGAGTCATTTGCTAACAGTCACATTGTGTTACCGCTTTTTTAGCACTGGGTCATCACCCAGCTTAAGAGAGGACGTGTGGGAGAATAGAAGTTGGACTGCTAAAGCAGGGAACTATTGTAAATTCCACATAGAATCAGGTGCATAGATTCAGAACATATGCTTCAATAGAATAGGGGGTGTATAGGTTGTCTAAAAGTTGCAGATATTCGTAATTCGGACAAGACTTTTTGCGTCCCACCCATCCATTTTGCTCGTGCGACTCTTGTGGTCATTAAACGGAATTCTTCAAATACAATAACGTTTCTCCTTTCTGAGCTGACGCGAACCTTTAAATCTTCAAAAGGGATCACTTTTGACTCTGTATATTTAAGCTGATTTCCAAAAGCACCAATTTATTACTTCAGAGATAGGTTTGGATCACCACTAGCAGCATAATTGAGCCCACGATTAATATACGCCCCAACCGCGACCTGATATGTCACTAGTTAGATCAATTTTGCGTTCCTATGAGTGATAAAAAATGCAGGCAATTGGTGCAGAATGGAGCCCAAGAAAATCCCCAAGACACATTTCAAAGGTGCCTTGTGCAACGCAGTAAAGGGAGTTGTTAGCTCAATCATCAGACCGTTTCGGCGGCGCCCGACTTTTCACATTTGTTTTGAGCGTTGGGTTATGGAGATAAATAAACTTTATACTGGGTGCAAAAGCTGCTCTTGAAGTGAAATAAAGGCGTAGATGGCGAAGAATTAGTCTATTTAGGCCCTATCCCTTGTCCATATCTGCCTTCATTAGGTACATTTAACTTTTCACCTTGAAGATCACCGCATCCCTTGAAAAAACAGCTGCTTAGTGATGACGGAATGCTATGCACGATTTACATCTTAAATGATAGATTACGAGGTGAATTATATGATAGCCGTTTGCTGATCATCCGACTAGATCACCAAACAACGGTCAACGTAAATGATACTATCGAACGTTCTGCATGGTAGAAAACGCACAGTGCTTCAGTAAACAGTTTGAATTAACTTGCAGTGCCTGCACTTGAAAAAGCGACTGGTACATTAGAGGGTCCCTAATATATA